AATTTCTACCTCAAGAAGATGGAGTAAGTTCATCCTTCAAATACTGTCTTATTCTTTGGGACCTCAATGGATTAGATGATGCCCAGTCATGTATGTGAAGGTGATGTTCAAATATAATCCCTTCCAGAAACACCCTTGCAGATACACACAGAAAGAATGTGTTAGAAGCTCTCAGGGCATGGCTTCGCTCAGTCAAGCTGACTTGTAAAACCAACCATCAGATATACCTCCTATGGGTTTGAAGTTTTTGGACCTTAGAAAATTTAAAAAATTATGGATCTGCAGAGGAGAGGGAGAGAGCTTGGGAAGAATGACTGGCTTTGAAGGCAATGTTAGAGAATCATCTAAATTAAGACGATCATTAAGACTGTAGGAGTCAAAACCGTCAAATGGAAAATGGTGAAATACAGATGCATCTTTAGGGACCATTAAGATGAAAACAGAGCTAACTAGAGGCTCTCCAAAGTCTCTGAAATGAGGCTCATCCCTGGTTTTTCCTGGTCTCTTAGGATAGAGGTGACATCGGGGTATAGCAGTAGGAGGAGGAAATAGAGAAGCAGCTGAAGGGACACAGAAGTTAAAAGAAGTCAGAGTTTCAGAGAGGGAGTGGTCAACAGCATCCAGGTCAGGGAAGATGAGAATGAGGCAAATCTCCTGGATATAGCCACTGGGAGAAAACTGGTGACTGCAAAGAGATAGGGTCTGTGGGATTCTGGGGGAAGAAGTCATATTTTAGTAGCCGCCCTCCACCTCCTGCTTTTGGTGCCAGGGATTGAACCCAGGGGCACTTAACCACTAAGCCACATCCTTAGTCATTTTTATTTATTTATTTTTTAAAATTTTGAGACCACATCTGACAGTGCTCTGATGGTTATCCATGAGGTTTTCTTATAAAATGGTTGCCATATGTTACCTCTAGCCATGGACTTAGGTTGGGGCATGATAGGTCCCAGAAGTTGGTAGAGTTGGATGGAATAGAAGGATACAAGGATGATCAGTTAGGAGGCTGGTGAGAAACTGCAAGAACTGAGATGGGTGAAGGTTGCTCAGGGCTTCGCTAATTTGCTGAGGCTGGGCTTGAACTTGTGATCTTCCTGCCTCAGTCTCCTGAGCTGCTGACAGGTGCGCTCAGCCAAATTACCTGTCTTGACAGTGAAATTATTGCAAAAGTTCACCACAACACATTCCCACTAAGCACGAAGCTTACTTTCCTTCATGCTCTGCATACTACTAACAATGTTTTAACCTCCGTTCTTTCCCCAGACCTGCAATGCAGTCTACAAAAACAGGTCTTCACTCCTTCTCTGAGTTGTCCCTGAATCCAGCTTTCCCGGGAAGGCTCGCATCATTAAGTTACATTGTCCTGGATTGTTTCATGCTTTTCTCTTTTATTCTAGACAGTAAAGTTAAAAACATAGCCTAGAGGAACTTTGCATTTTTCTGACTTGGCTTGGTCCCTGATATCCCCCAAATTCCATTCCCACTGGAAGCCCAGGACTGAATGTAAGAGAAATAATGGAAGCTCTGAGAACTAGGGCAGTAGGACCTGAATCCAATTTTGAGTATCCGTGTCTGTTTTTTGCTCAGGCCATCTGCTACAGTTTGGATTTTAAATCTCCTTCAGAAGACCATGTGTTAAAGGATTGGTCCTCATGGTGGCACTATTGGAAGGTGATGAGACTTTAAAGAGGTGGGGCCTAATGAGAGGTCCTAGGTAATTGGTGGATTCCCTGAAGGGGATTGTGGGACCTGAGTCTCTTACTTGGCCATGAGGTGATCCGTTTTGATGTGCTCTGCACTCCTGCCAGGATGTGCCACCTTGTTACAAACCCAAAGAAATAGGGCCCATTGATTATGGACTGGTACTTCCAAACCTGTGAACCAAAATAAACATTTTCTTTTTATAAGCTGATTATCTCAGTTATTTTGTAATAGTAATGGAAAACTGGTTAATACACCATCTTACAACTGACCTGCCTTGTTTTCCACCTTCTCTCCTGATGGTCCTCTATTGGAAGCCCTGTTGAATAGAGCCTAGATCACCACCATGATTTCTTCCTCAACCTTTATGAAACAGCCTGAGAAATCCCTATATCCTATTCTTATGAATAATGAGGCTGTTCTACCCCAGTGGGCTGGTATTGATATTGGGCAGCAATACTGCTTTTCTTATCCCCATCTCAGATCCCTTTTTGACATAAATCAAGTTTCTTGCTTCCTGGGAGCCCTGTGATACCACTCCTGTTTCTCCTTACCATCTGTAGATATTAACATGTAATTCATCTGTGAGTAGCTCAATATGTTACTTTGTGTGTCCAAAAGAATATATTTTCCATTTTTCATGGTGAATGACCACGAAATGCAGCAGGACCTGGCCATCATGGAAGATGATTTGGGGAAGGAGGCGGGATGACTTCTCATGACATTAAAGCCTTGTCACAGGGAGGGTGACATCAGCAGATTTGTTCTGACTCCTCTCTATGGTTAAGTACTACAAATGGTGAGTCTGCATATGATCTCTGACATGGAAATAGCCACGGCTTCCATAATAAATTGTATCCTTAAACCTCAAATGCAGTTTGCTCACATTTTAAGACCAGAAGCCTCAACCACAGCGTCTGCCACAATTACATGGGTGGTTGTCAAACCTCTTTGGTTGTTAGGAATTAATTTGCTCATCATGTTTACTAAAGGGTCATTGGCCAGAGACAACAGTATCACTATGTAAAGGTGAGAATTCCCAGTACACAGCAAATGGAACAGATAAAAAGCAATGGCCTCTAAGTATTCCCAGGAAGTGAATTGAAACCTGTGTCTTTTCTCAATAGACCTAAATATCCTCAGCCATCATTCCTTAACTACCATGTTGCTCTGTAGCAATTATGGCTAGTTCTACTCCACATGTGGAAATAGTTGGGTTTTGTAAATTGTTTTCTCTACTTCTGAAGATACAAAGATGCTCATCTCTGGATTATTCTACTCTGACGGAGGTTGAAGCTATAGCAATGGCTATCCAGATCTTCATGGACATATTTTCTAGTCTATAGCACACTATCCCTTTCCTATTCGTCAAAAAGTTCCATTGTCTGGGCTTTTCTCTTATAAGTCCTGAGACAGAGAGAACAAGGGGAGAAGAACAGGTGATTAATAGAGAAAAACAAATGAATTCAACCATATGTTTTATGTTATTTGATCTCACCTCAGTTGATACCAATTTTAAGCCAACATACCCATCCCACATCCCTCTTATGGAGGGATCATTTTACAGGTAGAGAATCAAGCAGAGGGGCAGAGTATTATGGATTTTTAACCTTGGGGAGGGTACCAGTACCTCCAATGCATTTGATTTTGAAGACCACGTATTTGCTCCAAAGCTTCAATCCTTTATAAAAGCACATAACCCAAGAAAATGCACATTATTATTTTTACAGCCACAACTTGCTTCTGACCCTTTAAAGATGCTACTTGGCTTGGTTGTTTACTGTACTCACTAAGCTTGGTCCCAAATGACATGTGGCTGGTTCCAAAAATAAATACACCCTTAGAAGATGGAGATTTGCATTCCATGAGGATAACCAAGAGAATGTGACCCAGAATGCATAGGCACATTTGAAGAATGGGTGATCCGAATGATGGCTACCCAAGAAGAATTAGCATGTAGCTTCTAAAAGGAATACGTCCTTCATATTTGGAGCACTGATTAAATATAAAATTCTTACAGTTCATAGCTCCATCTGGAAGAATATAAGACAAGAACATGTTGCCAAAACATACTGATGGTCATGAAATGTCACCTAAACCTGTGAAAATATGGTGGCTTTGCAGGATCACATCTTTTGGTTAACTAGCCTCAGGAATTTCTATATTAGATTAACCAGAAGTTTCCTTTAAAAAGAAAACTTCTTGAGGGTATGGTGCATTTCTTGCTTAGCAAACTTCTGTTAGAATAGAAATGACTCTTGGTTCTTTCATAGTGAAGAACAGACTTGTTATTTCTTGGCTCTTTCTAATTTAGGATGATATTTCATCTAGTAGTGATTGAGTTCCACTGATCTCAACCAATTTCCACATTATTGCATCTCATAGTGAGAAGATTGGAATGGACGGATAATACAAAGTGGTGGAGAGATCATAGCCTTTGGAATTGGATCTGCATTTGAATCCTGGCTCTCCCACGCAGGAGTTCTAGAAAGTTGGGCACCCTATCAGAGGCAGCCCTGCAAATTCTTGCCAAATTTTGTGAGGCCTGAAAGAAATAATGTGTATGAGGTTCCTGAACATAGTGGGTACTCAGCAAGCAGAAGCCACCGCCAATTAGAGTCTCTCTGTGTGTAGGCACATAGTATGGTGCTACCTACATAGTAGGTGGTCCTAAAATGTGAGTTCTCTTGATATTTTTGTAAGGATTGTAGTAGAAATGGAACCTGGAAAACTCCTGCAGCCCTATAGGAAGAAGGTAGAGTTGTCTCCCTCTGCCTGGATGTAATGGCCAAGAGACACTGAGTTGGATGGCCTTGTGAGTCTTTTCTGATCGGAGCTTCCAGGATTCCCTACTAAACAGCCTTGCTTCCAGAGAGGATTCCTTAGGTGGCCCCTCTCCCCCAGAGTCCTAACTGAATATGAGCTGGATAAGGCACAAATCCTTCCTTGTTTAGGAGGGAGAGATACAGAAGTGACCCCAACACTGGAGGACAGGGTACGGTGTTAATGTACCCTATCTTAATGCACCATGAATAAGTGCTGCTGTTGGCAAAGTTGGTTACTTTGAAGTTAAACCATGAAGCTCTTACTTAACTAACTAGCATGATTGGTGAGGAGTCCTGACTTAGCAAGAAGCCAGAGTAAAACATTTTATGAGGTCAAGGACTCATGCAGGATGGCTAAATAACAAATGGAAAAATTGGTAAAGAAGGAAAAAGGAGGGTAATGCTTTATGTGGTCACCACACCCACTACTGACAGTATATAAAGCCCTGGAGAGGACCAGGAGTTACACCAGAGAAAAGAAATCAGGTTTTGAAACTGACTTTCAGAGCTCTGCTCCCTCCCAGCACCATGCCTTACAACTGCTGCCTGTCCAACGTGAGCTGCCGCAGCAGCTGCTCCTCCCGGCCCTGTGTGCCCCACAGCTGCCATGGCTGCACCCTGCCCGGGGCCTGCAACATCCCCGCCAACGTGGGCAACTGCAACTGGTTCTGTGAGGGCTCCTTCAACGGCAGCGAGAAAGAGACCATGCAGTTCCTGAACGACCGGCTGGCCAGCTACCTGGAGAAGGTGCGCCAGCTGGAGAGGGAGAACGCGGAGCTGGAGGCCCGCATCCAGGAGCGGAACCAGCAGCAGGAACCCTTGGTGTGCTCCAGCTACCAGTCCTACTTCCGGACCATCGAGGAGCTCCAGCAGAAGGTGAGGGGGTGGGCACTGCAATGCTAACTTAATGAACTTTATCCAAATTTCCCATATCGGCTTCCAAGGGACTCTAAGGCTGTTTGCAGCCAATGTTGACAGTGATGGAGACATAGAATCCACTGGCTTAGATAGGACACCAAATAGCCTTATCCATTTTGGAATCACTATGAATGGGACTAGGTTAAGGCATTGGCTACAAATTAGTCACAGACGTCTTACATTGTTTTTTTTCTTTAACCTAAAACCCAAATATCTGCTTTTTTTTTTTTTAGTTCTATTATGACATTTAATCTGCTTGTCAGAGAATTATAATGTGAATTATAATGTGTATCTGAATCAGTACTTTGAGCTAGTGGTTTCCTGAGTGAGTCCTCAAAGACTGTATTAAGAGTGTCTTTGGTAAAACAAGAGAGCCATTGACTTCAGAAGCCTTGCTAGTATATGGAGACACACACACCACTCTCTAGAGCAGGCATGTATACCGGTGACAATGCAGTGTCATAAATGCAGAAGACGGTGCAAGTAAAGAGAGAACATGGAGGTGGGACTTAGAGAGCTCCCCAGAGGAACCAATATCTGAGTGGGGTTTGAAGGATGAGTAGGAGTTTATACCTGATTGCATGAACATTTGGTTCTTGGAAGGACTTTTCCGTCTACTCTTGCATAGTGCTGGCCAAGTGAATATCAAAGGAGGGTCATGCAATATGAATATCATTGTTTATTTACCCACAGTTGGCATGTGTCAGGCACAGTGCTGGGGTGGGGGATAAATGACTATGATAGCATCTTTCTTTCAGGAGCTCAGGGCTAATAAGAGAGAGCAGTATAGAAATAAATGACCATAAAAGGCTCTAAGGAGTGAGTGCCACTGTAGAAGACACATGCAGGAAGGGGCCACCTGGGGACGCCAGAGAGGGAAGGGGTTCTGCCAGATAGAAGAGGCATCTAAGGGCATTTAAGGTAGAGAAAGAAGCTTCATGCAAAGCATGGTCAAGCCCACAAGAGGAGAGCGGAGAGAGGTAGTAGGGGATGGAACAAGGTGGTGTGAGGATAGTGTATACCCAGTTGTCTTGGTTGCCTGGGACTTGTCTGGTTTTAACATTTCAGGAAATTTCTCCGTCCTAAGCAAACTGGGAGGGTTGGTTGCCCTACCTGAGCCTTGGCTACCCACCTATCTCAGTTCCTATAGGAAATCAGACATAGACCAAGAAGAGTACAATTCCTGACATTTCATCTTGATTGTTCTAATTTTGAAATGATCAGTTCTATGAATGAATCCTCCTAGCATCACCAAACTGAAAATCTGAAAGGACATCAAGCTATTGGGAAGGACTGTGGATGAAAGAAATTGCTTTTTGCTTTAAGTAACAAGACGTTCCTTTCTTAGCATAACTCATTTCACAATTAATCCCATCCCCAGATCCTGTGCAGCAAGTCTGAGAACGCCAAGCTGGTGATGCACATTGACAACGCCAAGCTGGCTGCCGATGACTTCAGGACCAAGTAAGGCTCAGTGATGACCCCGGCCGTGTAGTGACAGGCAGGCAGAATTACAAAGTGATGAGCTCCCTGTCCTGGGAATGTTCCTGCAGAAGCTTCTAGATGATGCTGGGAGGGCTCATGCACTGAGCTAGAGTTAGGTTAAAAGCCAAAGTCTCTTCACCTAGTGCTAAGATTGTGTGCTTTACGGTTAGTTAATGATAGATGCACCCACACACAGGCAATCCCACCAGCATCTCTTTGGTGGGTCTCACTGAGGAAGTAGGTCTCCTTACCCAGCATAGTGGTGCTTTTCCTTTTGGAAAACTTTTTAAAAATTCAAAATATTTCAAGATATAATGAATTTGACTAGGTCAACGCAGTAAAGCTTAAGAAAGAGAGTCTTCCTCCTTGACCTTGGGCTGTGTGCACAGGTTCGATACGGAGAGGTCCCTGCGGCAGCTGGTGGAATCAGACATCAATGGCCTGCGCAGGATCCTGGATGAGCTGACCCTGTGCAAGTCTGACCTGGAGGCCCAGGTGGAGTCCCTGAAGGAGGAGCTTCTGAGCCTCAAGCAGAACCATGAACAGGTAAGAAAGTCCCAGCCCCCAACATCACAATACTGAGATACACAATACTCCATGACACCCCTGAGAAGGGTAAGGTAGGTTTTTGGTGGCTCAAAACATACTTGGGGGATTATTGTGGAATGAGTCACATGTTGATCTCTTTCACATAAAGGAGTGTGGTCAGCTCATCACCAGGGGGCCAGATGTGTGGCCAAAAGCCCACACAATGATCTTTAAAATACTTGCTACTGTTTGATAAGATTTATTATCTTCCAAACAGGTACTAAATTAATATCAAGACTGGAAGTTGATAGCACACTTCCTTATCCTCTGTGTCACCTAGATAACTGGAATCCAAGCTGGATAAATGGATGGATAGATGGATGGAAGAATGGATAGAAAGATGGGAGAAATGAAGGAACTTGGTGGTTGACTGAGATCTCATGGTTGAATGCAATATTAGGAAATCAGATGCATGCCTCGAACATTCTGTTTTCATGAGGAGGAGACAAGCTGTAGAAGACAGTACATGAAAATAGAAGACAGGAAGTGGATAGGAGATAAACCTGGATTCTCTACATTTAAGTAGCAAAACCGATTGTCATGCCAGGCTGCTCACAGAGCAAAGGGAAAATCAGAAGGAGATGGAAAAATTCTGGAGTCAGAAGAAATATTAGCAATAATTTAATCAACCAGTCTCCTGATCTAGATGAGGAAAGAGACTATGAGAGGAGGCTGAAGTCACCAGAGGTGACTTACCTAGGTTTTACATCAACTAGATTTCGACTTGCACTTCCTAATTTCACGTCCCACCACACTGGACACACTTACACACATTATTTTGTGAGTTCAATCTTTCCTCTCCCTCCATCAGGAAGTCAACACCCTGCGCTGCCAGCTTGGAGACCGCCTCAACGTGGAGGTGGACGCTGCCCCCACCGTGGACCTGAACCAAGTGCTCAATGAGACCAGGAGTCAGTACGAGGCCCTGGTGGAAACCAACCGCAGGGAAGTGGAGGAGTGGTTCACCACCCAGGTGGGCATCCGAGCACCTGACCACTCAGGACCCAAGGCCCCAGGGCCCTTAGGGCAGGGTCTGATCCTGTCTCCTCCCCTTGGGTGTTTCAGACTGAGGAGCTGAACAAGCAGGTGGTGTCCAGCTCAGAGCAGCTTCAGTCCTACCAGGCGGAGATCATCGAGCTGAGGCGCACGGTCAACGCCCTGGAGATCGAGCTGCAGGCCCAGCACAACCTGGTGTGTATTGTTCAGACCAGCTGGTGAGCAGCGTGAAGTCGGGGAGGCAGACTCACCTGTGGGCCACACACTCTCCTTAGCCCTGGAAGCTGGTGACTTCTTTGGAAGCAGTTTTGAAGGAGCAGCTCCTGACACTCCCTTTATTCTCTCCCCCACCACAGAGGAACTCTCTGGAAAACACACTGACAGAGAGCGAGGCCCGCTACAGCTCCCAGCTGTCCCAGGTGCAGTGCATGATCACCAACGTGGAGTCCCAGCTGGCTGAGATCCGGGCTGACCTGGAGCGTCAGAACCAGGAGTACCAGGTGCTGCTGGACATCCGGGCCCGGCTGGAGTGCGAGATCAACACATACCGGGGCCTGCTGGAGAGCGAGGACTGCAAGTGAGTACCCGGAAGGCACAATTCTACTCAAGGATAAAACAGGACTCCGAGGACCAAGTTTCAGTGTATCTGTAGAAGCCAGGGTTTTACATCCAGCTGTGGGAAAGTCAGGGCATTTATTACTAGCATCACCTGGGCTGAAATTATTTTCTGTTAAAAAAATAGTTATGAGTATTTTCTCCACTGGTGAAAATCGTCCTTTGGCTTCTGCTGGGTAAATAATGCTTTACATCTTCAGGGATGGCTTGTTGTGTCAAAAAAGAAAGCCATGCTTAGCAATCACCCATCTATCTGACTTAACCAAAACATTCAAATCCATTGCTTTCTTGGTCCTTGTTAGAACCCTTTGGAGCAGGCAGAGGGCATCATTACAACCATCCCATAATAAACATTTGAGTGTCAGAAGGGAAGATGACTCGGTAACTAAGAAGACACACCACTGTCAACTAACACAGTGTTTATATAACCATAATATATATTTTTGGGGGGAGGGATTTTTTACACTTGTCCCATTTTGTAGACTGGAGGCTAAGGTTCACAGGGATGCAGTGACTTTCCCTTGTCTCCAGGGCTATGGAGTGAAGGCTGGGATTCTACCTCAAGTGTTCTGTGCTCTTTCCTGCCACGGTCTCTGTACTTTGTAGAAGGAGTGATCTAAACAAGGCTTGACTTCCTAAGACATTGGGGAGTGGATTCTACTTGTTCTTATGTCTCTTTGGGTTGAGCCCCCTCTCTTTTTAAAATGACTCTTCTCATGCTGACGATCTAATGATTCTGTGTCCCAGGCTGCCCTGCAACCCCTGTGCCACCACCAATGCCTGTGACAAGCCCATTGGACCCTGTGTCACCAATCCTTGCATTTCACGCTCCCGTTGCGGGCCCTGCTAGATACCCAGGGGCCAAAAGGAGGATTGCATGAAGACAGAAAGACCATCGATGGACCACCTCAGCCTCTCTGACCCCATGCCCAGCATCGCCATGAATCATGGCCTGGAAGGAGAACAAATGCCCAGCGCTGTGACCGGGTTCTCAACCTGAGCTCCCCCTGGGACCTCTTCTCCCAGGGCTTTTCTCTCCGTGTTCTGATGGTTTGAGAGTTTGGAGCTGTGAAGGGGCCACAGGAGGTGTATTGTGGATCTCTCTGATGCTTCTGCTCTTCCCGTAGTTTCCCGAATCTCCTAATAAACTTTCCTGTTGCATATACAATTCTCATTTGTATTCATCCTTTTCAGTGTGTTCACGTCGTATGTGCTTCTTGTAAAGCCTCTTGAAAGCAGAGAGGGCTTTATAGATTCACCCTGTCCTAAAAGGTCTTCATCATGATTCATGAACATTCACTGAGCCTAAGGAATGCCAGTATCTACTCAGGATGGCATTCAACTGGCAGGAACACCGAGGCAAGAGGCCTCATCTGAATACAATAAAAACATTCGTCATGGGACATTACTCAGTAGAATGCAATGTGTAACATTTATGGAAAGTTCTAAGTTTTCTTTCCCAAGACCCCGCAAGACGAGGCCTGAAGTTAACATTTACTGAACACTTACATCAGGAGCTCTGCTACTCAGTTTTTCGCTTACATGATGAGGAAGAGTGGCAATAGGACTGAACCCAGAGTTCATTCTCCATTTGGCAATTAGGTATGAGGTGACTAGTAGGGAAGGAAACTGATTTCAAACAAAAACCCAGAGCTTTTACGTCTTCCTGAGGATACATGGTACTATTAGTCTCAAAACCTTGCTGAAAGCCAGGTGCGGTGGCGCACACTTATAATCCCAGTGGCTCAGGAGGCTGAGGCAGGAGGATCGTGAGTTCAAAGCCAGACTCAGCAAAATCGAGGTGCTAAGCAACTCAGTGAGACCCTGTCTCTAAATAAAATACAAAATAGCACTGGGGATGTGGCTCAGTGGCCGAGGGCCCCTGAGTTCAACCCCTGGAACCCCACTTCCCCACCAAAAACCTTGCTGAAACTCTCCTTGGGAAACACTGCATAACTCATGGTAGTAGAAAGGCCTATCCTTTATATTCGAGTCATTGTCAACAGATTTTTAAATCTGCATTTTTTTTAACCACTGGAGCTAAATTTGAATTTTGGCACCTTCCCTAAATTATTATCTCTCTGGTGTCTGTGAATTCTAAAGGTGACAGACGTGCTGTATCTTGTTCCTATTGGTGCTTTCTGATGTCTTGCCAAGGTTAAGGGCTCCCATCACTAGACATGCTGTGGGAGGTGCCAAGGATTCCACCCCTGTCCCCAGACTGACCAACAAGCTAGTTATGTCTCCTCTAGTGCTGTGATGACGCCGCTGCAATGTCAGTCTTAAATTCTTGGGTTCTCATATTCCAGTTCTTTTGATGCTGGTGTTCCTTTGTTGTTGATGTTGCTGGGCCTCGGGCCCTTTCTTGGAAAATCATCTGGGTGACACTCCATGCTGTGCTCGGGGTGTCCTAGATCCAGTTTGGCCACTCCAGCCTTCTTCATTCCCAAGAGCCACCTCATGCAAATCACCCTTGTCCAATCTATCCCATCACTTCTCCTATATGCTGGGACCCCTGTTCACTGACAGTGACCTTGCAGTCACCTTTATCAGGGTCCACTGCCTCCCAAGAACACTGTTCTATGCCTGTGAGTGAGAGCCCAAATTTCTCCGCATGGTAGATACATGGTGATTTATTGTTCAGTATGTAAAGTACTGAACAAAACTTGGTGTTCATGCTGGGATAAGAGTGTTCAGGGGCACTCTTCTTAGTTCTTTACTCTGCACTGTGTTTTCTTTAGTGGAGAAGAGAAAGCAGTGAGAAAAGTTTTTCTCAGGGCAAAATCAGTTTAGTTTCTGAGATATCTGAGTAGGGTTTAGTGTTACTACTCTGCTCACACTTTGGGCGAGAGTATATTGGCTCTAAAGTGCACTGTGACATGGTTATGAACTATAATTGGCACCTAGTGTAACACGCAGGGCTGCTATTTTCTTATTGTTTTTTATTTTATTATTGTACTGGGGCTTGAACCCAGGGGCACTCAACCACTGAGCCACATATTCAGATGTTTTAAAAAAATTTTATTTTGAGATAGAGTCTCACTAAGTTGCTTAGGGTCCTCAATAAGTTGCTGAGGCTAGCTTTGAACTTGGGATCCTTCTGCCTCAAACTCTTTATCTGCTGGGATTACACGTGTGTGCCACCATGCCCAGTTCTTATATTAAATGGTTAATTATGAAAAAATTTCAAATATGTAAAAGTACAAAGTCTAAAAAGACACCTATAAGTTGATAACTAAGATTGAAGCAATCTTAACCTTGTACATAGTTACATCATCTCTTTGATATTTTTTAAAAGAAAGGTGTTGTTATGGATTGAGATAAAACCCTGACTATATCCATTCCTTTTCCCCCCTGTCTTCCAAGAGGTTTTCCCTAGATTGGGTGGAATATCATTCTTCAAGCAAAACATTTCTAAAAATTATACATGGATGCATTTTTTTGGTATGTTTTCCAACTTAGCACTTTAAGTTAGAAAATATAAATAGTATAAATATTGCCATTAACTTTCCCCATTCAACATAAAGTTTCTGAGATTTATTTATTGTGATTCATGATGTTCTTTTCACTTACATTAACTGTGAAGTATTCCATAAGGAAAACTAGCCAAGTTTTTATCCATTCTATTGCTGGCGGATCATTTTCTATTTTAAAAAATAAAAAAGGAACATTCTTGCCAATATGTCCTTGTGGGCCCATGTGAATGTTTTTCTGGAGCAGTGATTCTCAAAGTGTGATTCCTTGGGAACCTCTTAGAAATGCTGTTCTCCTAGACCTACAAACCCAAAACTCTGAGAATGGGACTAGCAATCTAAAATTTTAATGGCCCTCTAGGAGATTTTAATATCTTTAAACTAGAGGAGTGTCATCAGACTTAGTAGATTTTGCCAATGAAATGTGAGTACAAAGGTATCTTGTTGCCCTAGTTTGCAGTTTTCTTAATTCTAGGGACATTATGTGCTGTGACCAGCATGGTCATTAATTCAGAAACCAGTGAGGGGTGATGGGGGATGAAGAAAAGACAAACAGACACATGTAGAGAGAAAAAGCTGGGACCAGGTGGGCAACCAAGCTCCGATGGGGTTTGACTGAGCCAGAGCTAGCTTAGCATGTTTATTATATAGGTTTTGTCAACCAAATGTTATTTGTGGGAAAGTTTTGGCAAAACAGGCAATCTGAAGGACTCAGGACTGGCAATACATTAGGGTTATCTTGTTATGCTCAGAATTTTCTATTTCTGGGAGCTCGTGCCTGAGCTTAAGGTCTTGACTGATATAGCTGTGCACCTTTGTACTAGGCTTCCCCTGGCCAGTGTCACCATAGCAACTGGGCCATCTTGACCTGTACTTTTGCACAGGAAGTTCCCAGTGCAAACACAGCCACAAGAGAGTCAGAAAGACCATGATTCAAATCACGGCTCTCCACAATTATGTATTAAAAATGTTTTTTAAATTGGTTGTTCAGTTTTCTTCCCTATATTTAATTTAACTCAACAATGTTTGAGTACTTATGTTTGTGCCTGCTGGACAGACCACTGAACAAAATAAAGACCAAATCTCTAGGAGTTTACTTTGAAGTGGAGGAAGACAGACAACAAACAGGGACAACCATCAGGACCATGTTAGGTGGTGTTTGTTAAAAAGAAATAAATCAGAGAAAGGACAGAGAGGGGTAGGGGATGGAGCCTTTGTGAGTAGGGTGTTCAGGGCTCCTGATATCTGATGAGGAAAAATAGGGCTTAGTCCATTTTATTATTGACATTTATTATTTAAAAAATTATTGGAATTAATTTTTGAAATCTTATTTTGTGCTTTCTCTTAAGTAAGATTCTTCTTTGCTTATTGTTTCTTCATTTCCCAACATCTAGCCCCAGTTTAATGTTTATTCTTAACTTTTAAAAGTGCACATTTGACTTAATACTATCTAATTTTAACTTACCTTTATTTTCTTTCATATAAAACAAGGCCCATGAAAGTTTGTGTTTGTGTTCTTTAATTTAACTTCTACCTTGCTTTATGCTCCAAAATTTGGTCATTGTCATTGTTTAGAAACACCTGAATGTGCATCAGTTCATTTCTTTAAAAAAAAATGCTTCTGGCACTTTCTCCCTTCTTTCTGGTTTCTATTTCCTGTTTACCAAAATACATTCTTTGATAGTTCTTATAGAATATATAAGTGATAAATTATCTGTTATTGTCTGAAAATGTCTTTTGTTAATGGTCACTCTTAAATGATGGTTTAGTTGGTATGAGGTTCCAGATTGATATTTCCAAAAATGGATCATACATTAGACCATAAAGCAAATCTTAATGAATTGAAATAAATCTATGCATCTTATCAGATTATAATGGAATGAAACTAGAAGCAGCAACAATAACCTCAGGGTTTGTATGAGCACATGTAGATTGAACAATGCACTTTAAAATGAACAGTGGGTCACTAGAGAAGCTAAAAGGGGCTGTGCACAGTGCTGCTCCCCTGCAACCCCAATGACTTGGGAGGCTGAGGCAGGAGGATCACAAGTTCAAGGACAGCCTTGGCAACTTAGCAGGATCCTCAGCAACTTAGTGAGCTCCTGTCTCAAAACAAAAAATTGAAAAGAACTGGGATATAGCTCATCAATAGAGTGTCCTCGGGTCCAATTTCCATTACCAAATAAATCAAAGGATAATTTTTTTAAAAAAAATCTAGAATCAAATAAAAATGGAAATGCAATGTACCAGAACCTGTGGGATATAGTGAAAGTCATACTAAAAAGGGAACTTACAGATTTGAGTGCCAATATTAAAAAAAAAACAGTGATTGATCAATTTATGTGTATGTAAGAATATGGCATAATGAATCCCATTA